CTCTGAACACGTTCCAGTTTGTCAACATCATTTCTGAATTGTAGTGCCCAGAACTGGTATTCCAGGTGAGACCTGACCAAAGCAGAATAGAATGGCACTATTACTTCCCTTGATCTAGACACTATACTTCTGTTGATGCAGCCTAGAGTTGCATTGGCTCTTTTTGCTGCCACATCACATTGTTGACTCATGTTCAACTTGTTAGGACTCCTAACTTTCATATGTAGTCATGTTAAGCCAGGTGTCCCCCATCCTATATCTATGCATTTCATTTTTTTTGCCTAAGTGTAGTACCTTACATTTCTCAATGTTGATGTTCATTTGGTTAGTGTAGGCCCAGTTTACTAATCTATTAAGTTTATTTTAAATTTTGATTTTGGAAGCAAAGGGATTTTGAGACTTGTGCGAAAGAAGTTGTAGCACAAGCTTTCATAGATGCATCTAAGGAAGGAGACCAAGTCTACCAAAGCTTATGGTACAACTTCTTTCACATAGGTAGTCTCAAAGTTGCTACCAAGATCCCTTTGCATACTGATATTCTAGACTAATATGGTTATGTCTCTGAATTTTACAAGCAAAGACAGTGTGATGGCATTGCTAAGAGCCAGGCTTTTCGGTTGTACAAATGAGTTTGCATCATTTTAAAAAAATGGACTGAGCAAATACAATGACCCTAGGGATGTTGCTGAAAACTGTACTGTTTTAAAGGTGCAGAAATAGGCAATATCTCTCTTTGTTGGATTTATTTCTTTTTGCCAAAGATCCTAATTCCTCAGATGTCTTCTCAAAGGGCGGGGGTTGGAATAGTTAACCTTGTTCCATCCAACTGAGAGCCATCTATCTTCCTATTCCACATATGTATAAAAATTATGTGCCACTCAAAAACATATACTTTTTCTTGTTGTTCATGCTGAATTTTTTGTCTGTTCCAAACAATTTTGAGTAGAATAAATAGTTTCTCCTATACCTCTTTAGTAACCTTTGAAAATATTGTATATCTTGAACGTTTCATGTGGACTGTGGATTGGTAATTGGATCAGTGCATAGAACAGGCTTTTCCAACCCTTTGTCCTCCATCCATATGTGTTGAAGTATAACTCAATATCATCCCCAGCAAGTATAGTCACTGGTCCAATACATCTGAAGCACACCAGCTTGGGGAAAGTTGCTTTAGTTTATTGGATAAAATTTATCCAGTCTACAGTTGCTGTGTTGCTTTTAGCTGTTTTGTTTCAAGCTGCATTGTAAGCCACTTTGGGTCCCATCAAGTAAGTAAATAAACAAGGCAACTTGTTCATTATTAGTGGATTTGGATTTTTAAAAAATGAATTGGTTTATTCAACCCATGTTTTCTGACCTTGTTCTCCCATCTGTCTGTTTCAGGACCAAGAAGAAAATAAAGGAGCCACAAGCTGGCCAGAGTTCTACATTGATCAGCTTAACTCCATGGCTGCTGTAAGTAGATTTCTTAGAAATTAATTTGTGGCTGTATGTGTTCATAAGTTAAGAAAACAGAGAAAATTAAAATTTTGCACCTGGTATAAATTGTGGAATTTATTTAATTCAACCCTTTGTGAAAACAGGTAAGAACCTTCTCCAGGCAAAGATACAAAAGACACTGTTCTACAAAGTATTGCACAAAGTGTTCCACAAACTCAGAACCACATCCTGAATAATAAAGACATTCTCTGGGAGAATAATACTGTGAGATGTCTTGAGTCCTATTTTGGGGAAAAATTGCACTCCAAGTCCACAAATGGGGAGGGACAAGTGTAAATGGGTATAAACCAAATAAATAAATGTTTTTCCAAGACTGATGGATCATAGCGACTGTAATTCCTTTTGGAAATGGACAGCCACTTTTGACCATGTTCAGAGGCATTTTTTTCTGTGTTTTGTGGCATCCATGTCAGTCAGGGGGTGATCTTTCAGTCTGAATTTGAAAGGAGCTATCCAAGCCCTGTTTGAGATTTTATTGAGCCCTATTTGAGGTTGTTGTTGTTATGTGCCTTCAAGTCGTTTCCAACTTATAGAAACCCTAGGAAAAACCCATCAAGTTTCTTCAAAGGGGGTTTGTCATTGCCATCCTCTGAGGCAGAGAGAGTGTAAGTCGCCTAAGTCACCCAGTGCATTTCCATGGCCAAGCCAGGATTCAAACCCTGGTCTCCAGAGTCCTAGTCCATCTTAGATATCTGCTTTAAAGTTTAAACTAAACTCCAGAGTGGAATCACTGTCACTGCCAAATGTCAGATCGCTTACTTATTGATATCCTACCTGAACTTCAAGAACTGCTCCAGCTAAGACAAATTTAAAAAAAAACAAATTCCTTCTCATCAAAGGAAGAGATAACCTGAAAGTTTGCAACTCTTCTGCTATGCAAACTGTCTAATGGTGAACCATTCTCAATGCAGGCTGTCTTGACTGTGGGATTAACTGGGCAACCACAATTGTGATATATATCACAAAGGGTTGAACCCTAGATAGGGCTGAACACTAATAGATAGATATAGATATATAAAACACTTTAAAATTATATATAATTATCTCCCTTGTGGTGAGATCTAGCATTCTGGGCATAACTGCAGATTTGGGTTGTTCTCAGATGTGGGCAATCCTCCACTAGAACCATGAAACGCCTTGCAAATATGCTCTTTCGCAGTTGCTCGTAAAATGCTTCAGCTGTGCTTAGAGAAAATCGTATTCTGTTGGATTTTTACAGTGAATTGCTGCCATGAAAAGATGACATCATTGGCTAAACGTTTCTGCAGGGCACCTTCCTCCTTTAACTTCCTGATGACAGCTGTCCCATTGCATTACCAGTTCAGAGAAGGCTTTAGCGGAAACAATAGCAACCTTTAAACGGGGGGGGGGGGGGGGGGGAGGACAGAATAAAAGAACAACCCATCCCAGTTTTATTGTCCACAGGTGGCTGAATCTTACCTATGACTGGCACTTCGAAACCGAATCCAGGTGGCTACTAGGGCAGGAGGGTTGGAAAGGGAAGGAGGGATTTGCTCCACAAGGAGGGGATTGATTCAAAGCTACTAACTCAACTCAAGGGAAGGGAACTCTGGTGCCATGGTAGAGGACATGATTATGGTCATTTTTAACCAAATTGTTCCCAGGTGCCATTCTCCCATCAAAATGTTCACAAGTGGAAGCGTCCATGCTGCACGCAATCCTGAAATTCACTTAGAGCTTTTAAAAAAGAAATAAATAAGGAGGAAGTCAGCGCGGATCTGAAAATACATTATTAGTTGTTGTTGTCAATTGCACTTGAGTTGATGCCAACTCATGGTGACTGTGGATGAGACATCTCCAAGGCTCCTTCTTTTCCTTTGCTCTCCTCAGTTTCTATAACTTCAGACCCATAACCTCCTTGGTTGAGTCAATCAACCTGGCATGAAGTCTTCCTCTCTTTCTATCTCCCTCCACCTTTCCTAGCATTATTGTCTTTTCTAATGAGTCTTGCCTTCTCAGGATGTGGCCAAAGTACGTCAGCCTCAATTTGATTAAGTCTTTCAGAGAGATTTCTGGCTTAATCTGTTCAAGGATCCATTTGTTTGTCTTTTTAGATGTCCAGGGTATTCTCAGCACTTTTCTCCTGCACCACATCACCAATGAGTTGATTTTCTTTTTATCCACTTTCTTCCCTGTCTAGCTCTCACATCCATACATAATGATGGGGAATACAATGGCTTGGACAATTCTAACTTTAGTGCTCAGTTGTATATGTTCTTTAAGATCTTGTCTAGTTCTTTCACAGCTGCCCTTCCCATTCCTAGCCATCTTATTTCCTAACTGCAATCTCCATTCTGATCAATGTTTGATCCAAGGTTTGGGAACTCATTTCAATTTCTTCATTGTCTAGGTTAGTATGTAGATCCTCTGTAGTCATTGTTTTTGTTTGCTGTATGTTCAGCAGTAAGTCTGTTTGATTTGATTTGGGCTAACATACACTGGTCAAACAGGGTACATTGGGCCCTTAGTATCCACACTGTAGTTTGGGTCCAGGACCCCCTGGGGATACAAAATTCTGTGGATGCTCTGGTCCCATTATATAGGGTGGGGTAGCAAAGATGGTGCCCTTCATAGAAAATGGCAAAATCAAAGTTTGCTTTTTGAAATTTTAAGGGGGGGAGGGAGGGAAAATTTTCAAGCCATGGATGGTTGAATCTTTGGATAGGAGGGCCAACTGTACTGTGCATTTTGACCTGGCCATTTGTTGCCTATCTTCAAACAAAACAACATGGGCCAACCTTGGGTAGAAAACACGTTTTACACGTAGAAGGTCAGAAGTTACAGTATATGATGGGAAAAGTTCTGTACCTCCAACCCTGGAATATTGCTGCCAATCAAAGTAAACAACACTGGCTAGATACTGAGCAAGCAGCACTGTGCAAATAATCTGAATCGGTATAAAGCAGCTTTATGTCATCAGCTGAAAAAGATTTAGAAGGAGGATTATAAACAAAATAGGGTAAACATTGGATGAGGAAAGAGCTAGTTAACTTGAAAGTAACTTGCATTTAGCACAACATTGGGCAAAGTACAGCCTTCCTGATGCTGTTGGACTGCAATTCCTATCCATCCCAGCCAGTATAGCCAATGGTGAAGACTGCTAGAAGCTGTAGTCCAACAACATCAGGAGAGCTGTATGTGCCTACATAATTTTAAGAAAGTCCAGCACTTAAACCATACTATGTATTTTTAAGTGTAAACATGGAATATAGATTGCTAAAGTCAGGAGGGAATTTGGCTGCAAATGTTAGAGTTTGCATGCTGGGTGGAAAATTCAAAGGCAAGGGCCTGACATTAGAAAAAGACAAACAATTGGTAGAAACTGATAAAATTCAAAGGTAAGTGACAAATAAAATAAATAAGCAGCAAACAAAGTAATCAATTTTAAAAAAGAATCAATTCTATACCATATTTCTTAATTTTACCAATCTATAGCTACTGATACATTTCAAAAACACAAGAGAACCCTATTAGAGAGAGCCAGCATGGCATAGTGGTTTGAGTGTCGGACTATGATCTGGAGACCAGAGTTTGATTCCCAGTTTGGCCATGAAACCTACTGGATGACCTTGGGCAAGTCACATGCTCTCAGCCTCAGGGGAAGGCAGTGGCAAACCTCCTCTGAACAAGTCTTGCCAAGCAAACCCCATGATAGGTTTGCCTTAGGGCTTGCCATAAGTCGAAAACTACTTGAAGGCACACAACGCACACACAGTGAATTGAAATGTGCATCTGGACAAAAGGGCTTCAATGTGCATTGGACATTTCCGATATACACTGGGCACTGCAGTTATGTTCCAACATTTACTAGAGGGTGTCTGATGCACATCTGGGAGCATCCCTCATCGGCATGAGTGCCTGTTACACATTGGACTGTTTCACATCAGTGATTCCATTGGCTATCATTGCTCAATGCACACCCATGCATAGTTAACATCACAGTAATTCTGATTCCTTCACACATAAATCCACTTACAAATACATAAGCCCCACACTGAATTCCAGCCATCATTTGTAATTTAAAAATCTCTGGGTAAGTAGGAATGGTTTTATTGGCAATGAAATTAAAAACCACAAATAATCAAATCTGCAAAAGTCAAAGCTGCAAATTTAGAGAACCAACTGTATCCATTGTCCCACTAACACCGTGGCTCCAAAAACCAGCACTGTATGGTTTGCCAGCCCCATAAAGCAGATTTTGGTCTGTAGGGCAGGCTGCTCTACTCCCCTAATTCCACTGACAGAAATAGTTAATTTAGCAAATACCTCCTCATTGGATTTAGGCCATTATCTTTCTTAGGAGGAAAACTATTCCTAAATTGGGATACCACAACAGAAATGGCCCCCTTCTTTGTAAATGCATAATGTGTTTCTCCCATTGATAGTATTCTAGGAATTGTCACATTTCTTTCTTTTCTGCAAACTACTTGGAGTTCAATGTATTTGTGGGAAATGGCATACCTAAATAAATGGATTGTGAATAATTCATAGTTCATGCTTATATTTTTAACGTCTGCAGAGGAAATCACTGATTGCTTTGGAAAAAGAAGATGAAGAGGAGAGAAACAAAACCATTGAGAGTCTGAAGACAGCACTGAGGACCAAACCTATGAGGCAAGTGGTCTTTTTGTATTTTACTGCCAATATTTAATTATGTTGGCTGGCATTCCTTCTAGAGTAGACCCATTCTTCCATCAGTTATTGAATAGTGACTCAACATGTAGTTCATTGATTCAATGGGTCTACCAGTTAGGACAATAATGGTTTTAATTTGTAATCTGCTGTGAGACAGAATATATTATTATTATTATTATTATTATTATTATTATTATTATTATTATCATCATTATTATTATTATTACCAACAACAAGTTTTTTGGTTCTCTTTGGCCAGGATTGGGGTTTTGTAGCAAAAAAAAAATCCTCATTATGCAGTTACAGAGAATTATGCCTGAATTGTGCTGCACAACCTTAGTATTAATAGGCAACATTTCACAGCTGAATGAAGACATCAAATGTTCCACCAAACTCACAACCAAATGTTCATGCACATCTATGAGCAATGTCACTGCATGCCAACTTGGATTCTGCAGCCTTGGAATTACATGTGGTTGTTTCATCCCTTCAGATGTTGGTGGACTGTAAATCCCAGCAATCCTAAGCAGCATAGTTCATGGTTAGGAATCCTGGGAATTAGAAACCTAGACTAAAATAGAGTCATAGAATTAAAAGAGACCCCCTAAGAGCCTAATTATATTTGGAAAGACACGTGATTCCTATCCCTGTTCTAAAGAAGCATGTTAAGGATTGGCAGGGCTGTAGTGAGAGAGGATGGGGCAAAATGAGGGCATTGCACACATGCGTGCACACACAAACACACACACACACAGTGTAAATTCCTTCAGCTCCCAACTTTCTAGCATTGCAGTAACTTGAAACTTCAGTTGTGCATTTAAAAATACAGTTTGGACATTGAAAGAAAAGGGACAGGCGAGGTTTCCAAGGCAGTGTGAACACAGCAAATATAAGAGCAAACTAAGCATGATCAAACACAGCAAACCAAGATGATCAAAGATCTGGGAACCAAGCCTTATGAGAAATTTCTTGGGGAGCTGGGTATGCTTAGCTAGGGGAAGAAAAGACTGAGGGGTATCTTTAAATATCTGAAGGGATGCCCATGTAAAAGGTGGAGTCAGCTGTTTTCCTATTGCTCCAGAGGCTATAACATGACTAATGGATTCAAATGACAAGAAAAAAGATTCCAGCTAAGCATGAGGAAGAACTTCTTGACTGTAAGGGCTGTTTGACAAAGGTTCCCAAACTGGTCATCCAGATGTTTCGGACTTCAGCTCCCAGAAGTCCCACCCACTTGGCCAGTAGTCAGAAATTCTAGGAGCTGAAGTCCAAAACATCTTGATGCCCAAAGTTTGGGAACCACTGGAATAGACTATTGCTCTAAGTCAAAGGTTGGGTTGCCAAATGACCCTGTTATAAGGGATACTGCTTAGTTGAGGGCCAGAACATTTGTCCCTTATAGAGCTGACAGGTGTCCATTTTTATAAGACATGTCTCTTATTTGAGGGTTGGAAAGCATTTTCTTTTCATATAGATTTAATAAGATGTCCCTTTTATATAGATTTAATAAGGCGTGGTCCGTTCATAAATACAGAAATATGTATATTATGTTTATTCTCTTGTCCCACCCCACCATTAGAGAACCAGCTCTGTAGTCCAATGTCCAGAAGGCCTCAGCTTTTCCAGCCTGTTTCTTATGGCAGATAATTTTTCTGACGTATGTCTCCATATGCACTTGTTCTCCAGATTTGTAACCAGATTCATTGACCTGGATGGCTTGACCTGCATTTTGAACTTCCTGAAGACCATGGACTATGAGACCTCAGAGTCTCGGATACATACCTCTCTCATTGGATGCATCAAAGCACTGATGAACAACTCTCTGGGGAGAGCTCATGTCCTCGCCCACACAGAGAGTATTAATGTAATCGCTCAGAGTCTGAGCACGGAAAACGTTAAGACAAAAGTGGCAGTGCTGGAAATCATGGGCGCTGTGTGCCTGGTTCCCGGGGGCCACAAAAAGGTACTGGAGGCCATGGTACATTACCAAAAATACGCCAGTGAAAGGACTCGATTTCAGGTACGAAGTTTCTTCTTGACGCTTTGGTCAGTTGCAAATTCTGGGCTTTCTTTGACTTAATTGTCTTATTCTCCTGTGCTCAGAAAGCACTGATTGGCGATTCTGGAAGTTGCAATCCAAAATGAGTTTTCTCTGTGCTTTGGGGTATTTGGTTTGGGGGCTTTTTATCTGTAATTTGTTGGTAACATGATAAGAATGACAAGTAGACTTTGGTCCAAAACATACTGTAGAAAAATTCAGTTTGAGACCACTTTAACTGCCCTGGCTCAATGCTAGTGAATTCTGGGAGCTGTAGTTTTGTGAGCACTCTGTCAAGCCAAGGCAGTTAAAGCAGTCTCAAACTGGATTATTTCTGCAGTGTGTTTTAGACCTATGACACTGGTTTGGAGAAAAATGTATTTCCCTCTCTGTAGATCAGGGGTAGGCAACCTTTCCCCTTTAAGGGCTGAGGGACTTCAGCTCCCAGAATCCCAGGAGCTATTGGCCAACATGGGACTATTGGCCAATATGGCTGAAGCTACTGGGAGCTGAAGTCCCTCAGCCCTTAAAGGGGAAAGGTTGCCTACCCCTGCTGTAGATCATGGGGAGGCACAGTGTTGACCCTTCATATGTTGTTGGACAGCATCTCTCAGCATTCCCCACTCTTGGTCATGTTGCATAAAGTTAGTGGAAGTTGCACTGACAACCCAAGCACTTTGCCCACCTTCACTTGGTATAGATGCATGGTATTGCTATCCTTTTGTTGATTTTGATCTACAAAGATCTGTAGGCTTTTGAAGTGGTCCAAAACCCTAGAAATTATTGTTAATGGATATAAAAGTACAGTGAACTGCTTCTTCCTGGCCACCTTCAACTCTCCCTGAACACTTGTCCTCTTTCTTTAATAACATCTGTATCTAGTCCACATGGCACAATTATAGCACTTTAATCCCATTTGTATTGCCATGACTGTATCCTATGGAATCCTGGGATTTGTAGTTTGAGGAGAGAAGATGTTCCATTGAATGACAACACTAGAGGCACTCTTCCACAGAGAATTCTAATTTCTCATCCACAAACTCCAAATCCCAGAGTTCCCTATGCAAAAGCCATGGCAATTAAAAGGGGATCAAACTACTCTAGTTGTGTGGAACAGAAACATCAAGTCGCCTTCTTAAGTGTTAGTTTTTAGCAAAGCAGGATTAGCAAGCATTTTGAGCTGTGCCTAAAGCAGGATTATACAGTGAAGCATTGTTGTCTGCTGGGTTTTGCTTCCAAGACTCCCCATGGATAACAAAATCTGTGGCTGTATAATCCTGCTTTAGGCACAGCTCAAAATACAATGGTGTAGTAAAACTGCATCCCTTATATGAAATGGCAACATCAAGGTTTGCTTTTTGGAATTTGTACATTTTAAAAATATTTTCAAACCATGGATGCTTGTATAAAAAAATAAATATGGATATGGAGGGGTGACTGTACCTAAATGGAATCAGCCATTTAATTTAAAGGTGCCAGGACAGCAATCTCAGAATTGCTTGTGGGGTGGGTGGGAAGAGGAGACTGAAACCTCTTGCCCAAATCTCTGTTGTCCCACCTCTGAGTCTGTCTTTTTCCCCCTGCTACAAATACTGTAGTATCAGAAAAATAAAAATCTTAATGGATCACTGGAGTGAGATGAAAGATTCTCCTAATCCCTAGCCATTCATAGAGAGCAGATTTCTATGCCTCCGCACTCAGGTGCTGATATATGGGATTGGTGTATGTGTTTGTTTGCATATGTGGAACCCTGGGTCCCAGCCACAGGAAATCACGGGGCCCCAAAAAATGGTGCATCCTTTTCTAGAGCTATGCAAAGTTGCTCCCAAACCACTTGTTAGAATGTACAGGTTTGCGTATGTGTTATATGGTTATG